TAGGCATCTGGCTGGGGTCATCTGACCCCAGCACTCTTCCAGGGCAGGGGGTTGGGCTCAATGATTTGTTGAGGTCCCTTCCGACCCCTAACATCTATGAATCTATGTTGATATGCAACTACATGTAAGCTTTATACCAAATACGAACTTTTTGTTAATCAAGAGTATGCAGTTATCTATGCACATTTATTTAATCATTCATACCTTCACAAATATCTGTTCAGATTCTTAAAATGTACTTAGTTATTACATTGGTAAAAAATGATGAAGGATCCACTTTTTCAGTATGACCATTACATTCTTACACTTGATTTGTGTATTAAAATTCAAGCAAAATACACAAAAACCAAGCATTTTAAAATTGTTTCAGGTATTTTAATACATCTACCTTAAAAAGTCTGGATACATAAAGGGGGAAAAAAAAAGAAAATTTATTCAAACATGGCTTACATTTACAACTAACTGATATATTAAACAAAGGAAGCATTCATATCTGTGGTGAATTGTTTGCAGTCAATTTGTCTTTGTAGATTTTTGACCTAGTAGATTTCAGTATCTTATGCTCAACTTTTATTTGCAGGGTCAAAACAGATGTTGTGCAATAAAGAGTATCAAGCTGTGGTGGGATGTATCCCACCACAGCCAATCTGCTTTATTGGGCAAAACATTAATTGCCTATTGTCCCCAGTGTGAGACAATTGGTGATGTATTTCCCTTGCCTGGGGATTCTCTGAATCCTTCGCTGCCCAGCACCTCCTGGTTGGGATCCAAGTCCTGTGCCAACCCATGCCTCACGTGGAAATATGAGCCAGCACAGGTCCTAGTACAGGACAGGAGAGAGGTGCAAGGTCACCTGGGATCTGGGGAATCCCTGATGTCCTGTGCCCCCAAACTGGGACCTGCATGGCCCTGTGACTCCACACTGTGACCTGTGCCAGGTTCCACACCTACCCAGGCTTCACAAGGAGGCACAGATCAGAACAGGTCCTGGCATGGAGGCATATGGTGCTGGGGATTCCCTGGGTCCCATGCCTCCACACTGGGACCTGAGCAGGCTTTCCCTGCTTACAGAGAGAGACATGCCTCTGAAGATCCCAGGTGGGTCTCCACAAGTAGGGAACACTGACTTTCCCAGCATTTAGGGAGGTGCCCTCAGATTCTAGGGCATGTCTCCACAAGTGAGGAAAGCTGGGCAGGTGCTCTGAGAGCTTGAGGGGCCTGATCCTGCATGGGAATTCCCAGGGTGTGCAGGATCAGGGCTCTTCAGCCCCTGGAGCACCTGCCTAGGGTGGCTGGAGACTGTAGGCAGCTCTGGGCTGCCTTCATGCTCCCAACACAGAGCAACCAGACATCAGACACAATAAAGTTGTGCTGACACTACCCCGGACATAGTGGGGATTACGGAAACATGGTGGGACTC